TCACACGATGCCACCACCTGACCTTATCGACGGAGAAGAAGAATACGAAGTGGAGCAGATTATCAATCACCGTGGAAGCTCCAGCCGGAGGCAGTACTATGTGTCATGGCGCGGTTATCCTTCGTCAGCCAACGAATGGATACTGGAACGGAACCTAACCGGAACATCAGATGATCTCCTCTTGGAGTATAAGACAAAGCATCGCATTGGAGTCGTCCGCATCGACTTCAACCACGAAGACAATAACCCATTTCCAGTCCTCTGAACCTTCATCGTCTCTTCGTTCCACTCGACATGTCTCGCTTTGCCATCGCCCGCACTCCATCTCCCATCCTCCCCACTCCCCTCCTCGCCGAAACTTGTCGACTCTTCTCTGAACGGCCTGAGTTGCAGGAAGCCCCCGATACCCGCGTAAACTGGAGGATGGTTCAGCACCTGTTCCTGGACCCCGACACGCAGCTCATCGACCTCGCCTACCCTCCTGTCGAGATTCCCCTCACAAACGCGGAACAACACGACACCCTCGACGCACTAGTCTGCGTGTACGACACAATAACCGAGGTCACGATGAGGAGACATTTACGACAGGACATCGTAGCCGAATTCTTAGCATACGAACGAGACGCTGTCGGTGCGCTCACCGCGGCTCTCGAGACATTGGAGCACACCCGATTCCCGGAGCTCCTCGCACACAACGATCCTGACGTGCACGACCCCACGAACCTTGTGTACCCCGGAAGGGACGTGACCCGTGACAACCTCGTCCCCAAAGCAGCACGAGCCCTCATCGACAATAGAACCGTGTGCTTCCTGGGGTGCAACAACGAGCAGCGACATCGAGTCCTTGATTGTTTCCTGTATACATGTCCCAAGTGCCGACGTACGGCCCCGGGCCATACGAACCGTGGCTGTCCCCAGGTGGGACCAGCGACGACGCATGGTCGACGTCTCTCCGAGATCCTTGCCGCCGATATACTTTCCGAGTCGCACCTCGTCAGGCTTACCAATGCTGCTCAACGAGGAGCACGACAACTCGCCGAAGAAACCGACGAGAATAACCTCGCCGAACCATACTCCCTCCGTCAGCGTACCTCTCGTCGTCGCCGACATCTTCCCCCATCACCCTACCCGACAGCTCGATATTATGCCGTCGCTCGAGGCCGACTTCCGGGAATCTACCGGATAGGCACGCACGCAATACTGAGCCGTCTGTACCGTTCCGGAACACGAGGAATGGTATTCGATACTTGGGCAGAGGCCGAGGCTTATATGCATGAATGGCATATAGGTCCGTTCTACGATGAAGACTACGACAAGACGAACTCCGACGGAGGATATCGCGGAATCCTGCCCTCCGACCTCGTCGCACGTCCTATACGTATCCCTACGCCACCTGTACACCTGCGTCGACCCCAAGGAATCCCTCCACCCCGACCCCTATCACGCATTACGTCGCCACCTACATCACAGTCGGAGGAAGACTTCCATATAGAACCCACGCGTGCAGAACTGGCGGATGCACCGCCTAGGTACTCCCAACCCCCAGTGTACTCCGAAGAGGAACCCCTCGCAGCACCGACACCTCGACCCTCTTCATCGTCGTCCATGAATACTGACGGCTTCTTCGCGCTCGAGGCCCAGCTTCTCGCTCAGCAACGAGAAGAAGGTCCGCAAGCATCTTTGTCCGCAAGTGCAGAAGAACTCGTCGACCAAATCTTCGGTCGACGAATCTTGCAAGTCGTTTACGGTCCAGATGGGGAAGTCGTAGGGTATTCGGTTGGTATCAACAGCGATGATCCCAATCGTACATTCCTTACCCCCTCAGAAGTACCACCTGCTGTCGTGGCTCGAAACACCAACACCGCTATCTACAGAATCCGTGCCAACAGGCGATTGGCAAGTATCCCTCACGTCGGATCTCTTCAGGTGCTGGCCGAGTCCAACGAGGAGACTCACTCGGTGGAAGACCAACCTTCGAGTCGAGTACCTTCTCCTTGGGACTTCAACGGCGACATCAACGACATGTATGCGGACGGTAATGACGGCGGAGATGAACAGGATCCTGAGGCTTAGTGGTCAACGCGGACGTCAACCATAGGAAGGGGCTTATGTTACAAGTCGCCATATTACGTACATTTTCATTTCTTTTTACTTGTTATCTCTAACCACCTCACGTGCATGAGGACCGGTTATGTACCATACCGCACCCGGACTATCATGTGATAGCTGACCTCTGCTTACTTGTTTCTTCGTCATGATTACCGCTTCCTTCGTCAGCGATGACATATCCTGACTCATGCTTATTATACGTCCTGACTCAGACTCTTCACTTATATATATACCTGTACAGTAGGGGTCGGACTCTTCAGTTCGACCTGGTTAGCAATCAACGCTAGCTTTCTCATACCACTACCGCTTCAGAACTCGACTAGGACGAAGGGACTCGCGTCCTTCCTAGGTCTAAGACACAGAACCTCTTCTTCGAAGTAGTAGCCTTGCAAGCTTGTGGCTTGTAGTGTTCCACTCGCCTAGCTTCGCGTAACAGGCACCCAACTGGCTGCTAAGCAATCCCGCCATCTCTAACCCTTTATAGTTTCGTCGACCATGTCCCGTTGGGCAGTTGGAGTGCGATCGGGGAATCGAAGGGTTCGAAGGTTCAATGAGTGGTGGTGGGCTGTGAATGCACGGGCGTTATTTATGTTCAGGGGATCGCGGCATTACGGAGGCAGTATATCTAGACATGTCAAAGCCGGGCTGTATGCGTCTCCGTGACCTTGTCGAGGTAAGTTAGGTGGCGACGTTCACTAGTCGGTTGGTTCTGAAAACACACATCAGTGTTTACCTCTGCGTTCGAATCCTGCCTCAGTATCAAGGCTGATTAATGACGTCAAGGACATCGCTCCCTTCGCTCCCTTCCGCATCCAAGGTCGCGGCTTCGCGTCTCTTCGTGTGCGGACAGATCATACGAGGCGCTACCTGTCAAAGTGAGACGATTGCTGTGTGACGCGGCGCTGTATCATGTCCTGCACCTCCGAGACACGTGTGTCGCGTTTGAATGCACGCGCATCAAAGCGCCAGAAACGTCGCGTCAAAGTCGGTGGCAGGGCTCACATGGGGCCTGTTGCTCCTGCGGCCTTCCCCACGTCGGCCACCATGCAGCGAGAAGGCATCGCCTAGCATCGAACCCACTCCTCTCAGACCGGAACATGTGACGTACAGAGACGCGGTGGTAAAACACCGTTCGTTTGCACTGTGCAGTGCACGAGTCGGAGGGTATATAAACTTGCCCCAGAGCTCATAAGGGACTGTTCAGCCATTCGCCTGATCACCGTCGACCACTCACCTTCACTTCTGAGCAACGCCGCCTACCGTGATGCGTTTCTCCATTCTCTCCTCGATTGCCGCGCTCTCCGTGAGCACCCTCGCATTTGCTCAGATCACGCCTCCTATATACGAGGAAACCTCGTTCAGTTCCAAGTACACCGATACTGATGCATCCGTCGACATCCTCACCTGCGGCTCTCAGCTCGCTGCTGAAGGGTACACCACCGTCGGTGCTATCCCCGGTAACATCGCCGGGTTCGCCAACATCACCAGCACAGACTCTTCCCTCTGCGGGCAATGTTACACCCTGGAGTACGCGGGGGCGTTCCTCACCATTCGTGTCGTGGACACGGCGGAGACCGGCTTCGTGACCACGAAGGGCGCATATGAGACTCTGACGGGAAACCAAACGCCGATCCCTCCTAGTGTTGATGCTCGGGTTTTGGAGGGTCCTACTAGCTGCTGAAGCTTACAGCGCTGCAGGTGAGTACACCGAGAATACCAGACTTCCGGATATCTCTGAGCCGCTTCATGTTACAGCACTGCCTATAAATATAAGTACAGCCTAGACACAAATCACAGTTAATTAGGAATGTGACGTACAGGGAGCTCCGAGTCGAGATCTGATTTATATGGTGTTGAAGTCGGCCTTGACTCCCCTTGAGTCGATGCACAGCGTACAAATGAACGCAAAGCCTGGATCGCATATCTTCTAAGTTACGCCATGACCACGCAGAGCTGAGCCCAGTATAACAAGAAAGAAAGGGAACCAAACATATGATCCTCGAAGCTGTTTGACTCAAGCACGTCACCGGAGGACGATTGAGGAGCCTGAGCCTCCTCGTGGCTGAAGCTTCGCTGAAGTCGGAGTTCGATCTCAGATTATGAACGTACCAACCTGCGGCAGCCACTGGGCACTCTGTCAGGCCTCCACAACTCTTATACACTTCATGCGAAGCACCGCGACAGTACTCGCTCAACATCGGGCACTAGTGTTACACTTTGCGCTTGCACTTCTTGCGCGTGACTGGTGAACACCGTTCCTGCGGAACATTCAATCGCCTTGTAAGCATACGCTGCAACCCAAACTCTTGCTCTGGACCACGACTTCGGCGCCGTCTTCACGGAAATAGCCTGCGATTATGGACAGCTGGATTCTAGTAGCATCAGCCTTTCTCAACGGCTTTGGGCAACCTCACGCAGAGACACCGCGTAGCGGACGTAGTGCCGCTGGCAGCGCGTTCGGATTCTCGGAATACGCTATGAGCCGCGATCACGTTTCAATGAAATGTATTGACTCGGTCATGGTCCAGGCTAAGTACCTCTTGCGTAAAGCAGCCATCCCTAGGCCAGGTGCCTCACCCTTCTGTCAATTTTTGCATTAGCCTCAGTCGAACGTTTGTCATGAAGTACCGTGGCGTCCCGCGCAAACGTTGAGCGCTGTGTTAGCGGCGCTCCTAATGACAGCCAACGCACGCTCCCTAGTACGTCTTTGCATTCTTCACTCCTGCATGCATATCATATCGTGATGGCAATGTAACCTTGTCGGCGTATTGCGCGGGACCTGCGCGTCCCGGTTCAAGACACCATATAAGCCTCGGTATGACAGCGCATCGACTATACCTACGACGCCGGGTAGCACACCTCGAAGCTCTCAGAGATACTCAAGCACCACGATGCATTTCTCCGCCCTCGTTGCTCTGGCTGCTCTCGTAGCGAGCCCATTCGCCCTCGCCCAGGCATCCGACACCGTATACGTCGTCTACGGCAACGGCCAACAGTTCGAGGACCCCACCGCATCCGTCGACACACTCACCTGCGGATCCGTCCTGGCAGCCGAGGGTACGCCCAGGTCGGAGACATTCCCGGCAACCTCGCCGGGTTTGCCAACGTCACCAACGCAGACTCGCCGCTGTGCAGCCAATGCGTAGTGCTGGGCTGGCAGGGAAGGGACGTCACCGTGCGCATCGTCGACACATCCTCGGAAGGCGGATTCGTAGTCACTGAGGGACGTACGAGGAGCTGGTGGGCAGCGACACGGTTCTGCCGGGGATCTACCAAGCGCGAATTGTAGAGGGGCCGTACAGCTGCTGAGGATGCGTCCGAAGGAATTGTGGCGCAGTCTCAGGCCTCGAAGACTGCCGGTGCTTGCGTGGTATGTCTGACTTACTGTGTTTGTCATATCAACGCTGAGCGATCATTTCCCAGTACGCATGCCGTATATGCCCCACGACATAGTGTACCTTAGTTGTATTGATTTGCATAATCAACTGCATCTATTCTTCGCTCAAGCCCGGAATGCTCGACTTCTGGCCCAGCAGCAGTGATATGCTGTTTGAGCCGATGCATTAACATCTTGTACACGTGTACAACCTGCTTGTATATTACCGTCAACGTCCGTATCGAACAGTCTTTCTGTCAATTTCGTTCCTGTACGATCAATGCCAGCTATCACTCTGCGTGACGCTCCCGCTCGCAGGCGTCGTGATATTGTTGTTCGGGTCGTCCTGCCACGTGACGTCCCCGTTATTCTTCGTGAGGTACTTGTACTCGATGGTCGTGCTCGGAGGCAGGTTCACCGTCACTGCGCCAGACAACGCGGAGATCAGTAGAGCGGAGTGATGAAGACGGCAGCTAACGTACGACTCCAGGGGTAGTTCGCAGAGGACAAGAGGAGCGCGTCACCGGTGGACCAGTTTTCAAGCGCGGCGACGGAGCCAGCGATGTACAGTTCTCTACAACGAGTAGGAGGGCGTAGCATCAGGTTGAGAGACACCGATTATTGAGGGGATCCTCCACTAACCACCGTACACGGTATCATACTCCACCTCGAACGTCACCGCGACGGTGTCCGAGCTCGTCGAGTTCGTGCCACGAGCGCACTACAGTACGTCGTGTTGAACGCACTCGTCGGGAGGAGGATCTAGACACCACGGTCCGTCAGCCTCGCCACCTGACAGCAGAGCCCAGATACTCACGACAGGGTTCCCTCCGCTCCCGGTGACACTGACGCTCCCGCCGCTGCCCGCGGTGTACGTCGTGCACGTGAGAACGTCAATCAGTTCCGTGCCCGAGGAGTAGCCGGTCCCCGAGGAGACGTCCCATGCCGGCGTGCCGCTCGCGCCGACGTTGGTGAGGAGCGAGAGCATGGGGTACTTGGATACTGCGAGGGTGTTGCCGCCTACCGACGGGAAGGTGACCTACAAACCGAGCGAGCAGAGCATCCAGTTGGATAGCGGGCGAAGCCATGAGATGTGATAGATGAGCCTGGGGGAGATGGGATGTACGTACGGCGGTGGAGAGATAGCTGCTGGAGGCGGCGATGGCGGCTTTGCGCGCTGCGTTGAGGATGCGGACGTGGTGCACGAGGGGCTTGTCCTCTATTACGTACCCTGAAAGCCAGAGGCTAGGAGCAGACATGATTAGAATAAGGGGAAGACGCGGCGTGGGGGCGAGGGAGCGACGCACGCTTCGCGGTTGTAGGGATCGTTGCTACCGGTATAGCCTTGTTCCTGACCTATGCGGCTCCAGTCAGACTACACAGGTCAAACATGCTACGACGGTGGTGCGTCCGACGTACCGTAATACAGGATGGGGATACCGTCTGCGATGAGCGGCCATGTCATCGCATTCTTCACCAACTAGAGAACGTCCAGTCAGCGCAAACGGAATTAGCATTTGGGACACTCACTCCTTGGTCTGTGGTTATGCTCTGGAAACGAGGGTTATCCTGGTTCTCGAGGAATGTGCCGACTGTGAAGAGTTGGTTCTCGTATGCGGACTGTGCCTGTTGTACAACATTGACGAGGTTCTGGAGTGAGCCGCTCGTCGACTCGAAGGCGGACGTGAGTTGGTAATACGTCGGATAGTCCAACACCCCATCGAGAACCTCTGTGTAAATAAGCGCTCAATCGGAGACGTTCGGTGCGTGAGCAGTCAAATCCCTCACTGGTATAGGGCGCGACATAATTCACATCGCCCTCAAAGACTTCCCCGACGGCATACACACCCGCAGCCGTCTGGAAGTCCGGCCAGAAATCCTTCCTGACATGCTTCAAGGTGTCGATCCTGAAGCCGTCAACGCTGTAGTTGCTCCGCAGCTCCCCGACCCAGTTGTGGAAAAAGTCGATGACGCCATCGTCCTCGGTGTTGCAGTCCACGAGCGGGACATTGCTGTCGCCGAGCCAGCACTGCTCGACGTTCGTCTGGTTGTTGTAGTCCGTGACCCAGCAGAAGGTGTGGAAGCTCGACTCCGCGTTGAAGGGCGTGAGGGTGGAGTAGTCCGGCGGGAGCGTGTTCGCGGCCATGTGGTTTACGACGATGTCGACCATCAGGTACATCCCGCGGTCGTGCAGGGCTGTGGCGAGATTATTCAAATCGGACGCGGTGCCGAAGTGCTCATTTAATGCGTTCTGGTCCACAGTCCAATACCTGGCGGTGTACAAGGGAAGTGAGCGGATTGAAGGGGTGTGTGAAGAACGCATTACCCGAAGTAGGAGTAGCCATCACCGGTGCTGCCCTCGAGGTTGGCAACGATGGGTGAGATCCAAATGGCGTCGAAACCCATGTATTGGATGTAATCGAGCTGGTTGATGACCCCCTGCCATGAACCGCCGCAATAGATGCGGTCTTCGGTGTCGCATGTTGGCGAGGAGCCATCAGAGGTAGCAAAACGGTCCGTTACAAGCTGAAATACAGAATCCAAGACATTAGAAGTGTTGCAGTGCAAAGCGAGAAACATACCTGGTAGATCGACCTTTGCTGCCACTCTGCCGGAGTTGCAGCGAGCGCGGAGGCTGCCAACGCACAAGCTGCGAGAACGCTGCCTAACATGTCAGCCACTCGAAGTGCAGTCCAAGCTAACAATGAGGTTCCCGAGCTTTGTGTGGGCTGGGTGCTGCGCTTTATATACGCTCGTGCGGTAGCAATGTGGCGTGTCTTCCCTGCTGTCAGCCGACGGTTGAGACACATGGTTGAAGAACGCACCACATGCACTCTGACCACCTATCCGAGTTCAATCACAGAAAGACTACAATCGAGCTCGTGTCCCTGGAAACATACAACAACCCAACGCCAACTTCGGCTCAGATCGTTGGTTGTGCCCATGTCGACACACGGTCTCGGAGGCTTTCGCCAAACTTGGACACGGCCTCTATTCCGAAGTTCAGTGTGCACGCCATACTGCACACATATATGGCAGGAGTACAATGCATAGCAAGACACCATCACATCCACTCTGTCGCGAGATGCCATAGTCACGGCGCAGACCGAT